TCCCTATAGACCTGTCACAATAAGAAATTTTGTTGGACAAATTGTCTCAGAAATCATTGCAATTAACAATCGTATTGTTCGGAGACCATTTTAAACTAACATAATGATACTGCATACATGTCAAGTTGTACAGATTGTTAATAATTTATGCTCATTTTGCAGGTATACGGAAGTATAGAGCTACCTCAGAGTTTTTTTAAGTTTTACGGATTTTTTTCATTTTCAAATTTATTTAACGGGTCAGAGCTTGTAGGACGTTAAAAATCAAATTGTACAGGCTCATTATACAGGTAAATGTCTGAAGGAGTTGACATGTACGAAAGCCCCACTCCCACCTCCTGCGAGCTTATAAAGTTCACTGAACTTTATGAAATTTACCTACATAATCAAAGTTACAAACTGACCTGGACCAGTGATTGGGAAAACAACACACAACAACTACTAAAATCGCTTCCCACCTCCTCTATCCAAGCTTACACAATTTATTCTGTGTGTGTCTTACTCTGGCTTCACAAAATAAGTGGGGTCACCCTCACGGCGCTTAYGAAATTTACGCAAGTTCACAAAATTGATGTCAAGTTACGGACAGACCAATACTGGTGATATGACAACACAACAACAGCTGCTGAAGCTGTAACGTCGCTACCCACCTATCCAACAATTTATTTGTGTCCTCCTCCGGCTTCATAAAATAATTGCTGTCACCCGCACGCTGCTTATATTATTAATGCAAGTCTACGAAACTTATGTAGTGTAGATAAAAAAAAAACAACTCTCAGCAAAGCCAATGTTTGACACGGTGCCCTGAGTCGTCGTCAACTGAAAGGAGTTCACTCCTYCCTACACTAAGAGAAGAAAWMAAACATGCAGGAAAAYGAAAATCATCACCCTCATTTTAATTTATTGTGTGATTACCTGATGTACTGCTTATCCTGACAGGCCTACCCTCCTACTTTCTTTGTACTTTGTTTCCAATGAGTCCAACCATCTCGTATCCGAATATTGACATTTTTAAATACTTGGCAAGCGAAGGACAGAAGAATAAAGTTCAGGACAAAAGTTCTTTCTAAATGAGAAAAYAAAGTGACTGAAGATCCTATTTGTTTGTGAAGTTATCTGATCTATGTCAGCTAAACAGTGGCTCATTCCTTGGATTTARGAGCCTTTTGTGTCAGAATGATTCATAGGTCAGAGTTAACTTGCTTAAACAAATAAGCCTTTCTATTAAAATGGTCATGTATGGAAAAGAAAGCAGTAAAAGGAGAATTGATGTAACCACACTTTAGTTAAAAAGAACACAAACCACCTAAATTTTAGTTGAAAAAATTGGAAATGTAAAAAAAAAGGGGGTGAAATTATTGCCACTGTTAGAGGTCCCGGGTTCAAATCCYGGACGAGCCCCCACATGTTACRTCCACCAGGCTCATTTGGTGGGGTAACATGAAAGGAGACCACACAAGGATTAGTTTACTTCAARAAAATAATAATTTATTAAATTAAACTAAAGAAATAAACATCAAAGGGAATACCAAACCAAATGAGGATYAGGAGGGAGAGAGCTGCAACTCCAAACGCTGCAAGGAAATAATACAGCAGAGAAACYATAGGGCTGTAACACAGGTTTAACCAAGAGGGCTTTGGTAAGTCCTCCTGTCTGTGCTCACATCCAAAGTTCATCACTCCTCTAGTGGTTAGAATCTCAAAATAGMCTCTTGAAACGGTTAGTGGGCTGCTATTTGAATCCACGTACGCATGTGTTTCCTGTAAAAATCCCCGGCTGGTGACTGACTTTACCGGCACAAATCGCTGTAAGCACTTAACAAAGCCCAGAGGCGAGGATATTCAGAGCTTTTCCTTGTAAAGTGGAAGAGCACTGTAATTCCCTCCAGCAGTTCCCACTGTGTTGGACACCCACAGCACAGATCAATAGTCATCAGAGCCCATCCCCCACGCCGCTCCACCATTAATAACCCTACACCGACTGAAATGCTCTTGCCTTGATCAAGTGTTATCCTTCACCTTGTGGATGATGCAACAGAGCGGCGTGTCATCGCTGAGAGGATGGATGGACTGAGTGACGGACCAAAAGAAAATGCTGCAGAGCTGCATTTTAAAGGAGAAAAAAGTGGGACTCTCAAAGCCCAAACTGTCCACTTCCTCCTTGTAGCCACCAAACATAAATTGTCTTATTGTGGTGCAGAGTCCCAAACCACCATGGTACCAGAGTATTTCTGTCTATGCTATGGATTTTCATCTTGGCGTTGCTGCATTGCGGTCTGAATTTACACCGAAGTCGCGAGCGYGTGTCATGGAGAGTGATGGCAGAGAAGAGGCTTAAGGAGTCTACTCACACCAGCCTCGTTAAGGAGCTATTCAAGCCTCCCGTTCATCATATACACGCACCCACCATCTGCTTCAGGCCCAGCGTGTGTGTGTGTGAGCGTGTGAAAGTATAGATGGGGCTGAGTGTGTCTAAGCTGAAACGCCATTTATCGCCAATTAGGGATGCTTTATATTACCCAAACTTGTCCCCCGACTATGGACGAGGAAGTACTAAAGGAGGCGAAATTGGACGGAAATCATCGCCGTCACCATGGCAACCCAATTCACCGTGTCCGGGCTTGACATCCTCCCTGGATTGCCACGCGGGCAATTGCCGGATTGTGCTTTGCTCAACCTGCCACATTAAATAGGTTAACTAATGGTCGCGATAGAAGGGAAAACCTTATTAAATTTCCTCGTTAAACGCAATTTGAATTCCTTTTTGCAGAGAAATATAACATTTCAAACAGACGTTCTCCCCGTGACAGGGAGATTGTGATAATGGCTAATTATCTCTTACTTTCCTTCRTTTGCTTTCATGCAGCCCTCACAGGTGAGTTGACGGGATAAGTTAATGGGGAGGAGAGGCGAGGACCTCGAGTCCCGAGGAAAATTGGTATGCATGGTTTGGATTCGCCAGGGAGAAGGTCACTTCAACCATCTGATAGAGCAGTTTGAAAGAGAAGGAGTAAAAAAAGAGAGGGTGACAGGAAGGTGAGAGGGAAGAGAAGGTGGGGGGTGACACGCAGAGAGGTAATGTGGGAACGTGTCAGGAGGTCTGGATCCGCTGCCTCACCCTGACAGCCCTGAAGGTGCGATAACCTGCGATTCAAAGACCCACAAATGAACGCACACTAACATCCATTCCAGGGTTTCCTCCCGGCTCTGTGCAGCGACGGTGGGGGGAGTTAATCACCCGTGTCCCTGGCCTTTAGCTGCTCTCATTAGCGGCGAGCGGTGGAGCCGTACCCGATCCATTAGCGACGCTGCCGGTAATGACACTTCACCAGCGTCGCCGGGCCTCTAGCCAAGAAAGACTCGCCACGTCCCCGTCCGCCGCTGCCTCCCGCCKCCGCCGCGCTTTTTTAACAACGAAGCGGGACGGAGAAGCAGAGCAAAAGGGATTGTGCCGCCTCTTTTGTTCAGTCCGGAAGGCAACAGGAAGACTAGGAGAGGCAGCCCCAGTGGCTTTGATCTGGGATCGCATCCGTTGGCGCTGTACTCGCGCCGTCATCGTTCCAAGCCTCTTTGTCATTGTTTTTAACACAAACAGAAGCAGACATGTGATGTATGTATCACACAGCTGCATGGTAGGACACAGACACGTCGAGCTGCGCGGGCTCGTGTTGGTCGTCTTTTATGCGCAGGCACGTGCTGATTAAAAACAAGCTCACGTTATCGTCACAAAGCTSTCGCAGAAAAAAACATCCTGCTGCAGACCGTCGCCTCATTCATGTTGCATGTGAACCCCCCCCCCCCCGGCTGTCATGTAACTAAACCTGTGTCACGTTTGTAAAACTCCCCATTGCAGAGCGAGTTAAAAGCCAGAGCAGGCATGACTAAAGGAATATAGGCCACAGGCAGCAAACCTCCTGCCTTTCTCTTCCCCTCCCTCTGTCCTCCACACATTTAATTCCCTCTAGACTCTTCTTATTACCACCTTTTTTTTTCCCTCTTCGGCTGTGGCCCGGTGTGTTTGCTTGCCTTTTGAAGTTTTGGTGGGACAGCAGGACATCTCCCTCCTCTTTTGTTCGTTTCTCTTACTGATCTGAGCRTTTACACGTGTTCTTCCAGCGCCCTCCAAAGGATGTTTCCGGCACTGCACCCTGGCTTTTCCCAACAGTTGTGGAAATAATGACACTAAACGAGTGTTCCAGGGAATTATAAATGCGTTTGATGTCAGAAAAGTATTTGTAGCTCTAATGAGCGACTCAGGAATTTTCATGTGAAATGTTTGTGTTTTGAGTATGCGTGGGTGTTTTGTGTGTGTTTCAGTACATGACTGCTGCTGCTGCCGCGGCGCCTATGCAAGGGACCTACATTCCCCAGTACACTCCTGTGCCTCCAACCGCCGTCCCTGTCGAAGTAAGACCCACAAACACACCAAGATTCACAAATCTGTTCCTGTTTTACTCACAGAGGATAGCGTCCTTGTTAATCCACCCCAAAACTTGCTCAACACATCTAAAAAAAAAAATAAATAAATAAAAACTGAAACCATTGTCAAATGACAGATTGCTTTTTGAAGCATGCAGAAATGTTCTTTTGTTCGCTGCAAATAAATAGCTTTGCACCACCGGTGAGTAACTGCAAGCAAAGCACAATGAGTCMGAAGTTTTCTAGCGTTTGGGGAAGACATTTTGAAGTGCGGCGCAGACTTTCCTCGCTGCCTCGGCGGCTCGTCTGAGCTCCTGGCAGGTTCAGGCAGTCCRCGCGCAGAATTGATGAACGCGGGGAGGCGGTGGGCGGGCAGGGGGGAGAGCAGGCGAGCTGTCTGGCGGCTGACAGTGCGGTCATATTCAGACGGTCTATCAGTCGTGTATCAGATGACAGGGGCTGAAGTGAGACACAGCGCCGGCAGAGCTGCCTCTCCCTCTCCCCTCGCAGCTGGTCCGGGCTGGTAGGTGGCTGGAACATCCGTCAGCCGTGGAGGCCTGGTTAGCCTGCCAGCCTCTGGTCAATGACAGTTCCCCCTGACACATCCATTAGTCGCTCCTCTCYCCTCCTCTGTTCCTCTCTCAGTCTCCCCCTCCTCAGAAAGGCTTCAGGATGAGGGAGTGGGATGGAGAAGAAGGATGTAGTCGTAGCGTAGCCCACGGCACCTTCTGCCTATTTCACCCCCTGTATTGTCCTGTCAGTGGCAGCGTGGGCAGCGGGGCGTCCATCAGCCTGTGTCTGCGGGGCTGATGTATGGACAGGACAACTTATCCTTGAGAGCTTGTTAAAGTTGATTGAGATGACTCAGTGATGGGGGGCAATCAGTAATTCTGGACACATAAAAAGGCTAAAAGGCTTGTTTTGATGGATTTGGTGCACCGAGTCATCTGTAAGGAAGTTTTCTGCTCCAAACACACGTCTCTGATATATTTCAGCTTTAAAGGGGCAATATCATGTAAAATCAACTTTTTTTGAGTTTTATATCATGTTATAATGTTATACTCTCATAAAAAACATGTCCAAAGCCTTGCTTTGACTCATTCATGCATGTTTGAGAAATCCTGCAGCGTTTTTAGGAAGCCATGCTGAGGAGCAAAACGACAGGTGGTGAAACTGAAAGTGAAACCTAAACTGTCTGCTGAGCTCCACTACTTCTCACTCAGTGAAGCTCTTTTCAGATTAAAAAAATACCTTTGAGGAAATGTATTTTCAGATGCCAAGTAAACTGCATCATAGCAGTCCCTGCACCAAAATGGGCGGGACAGAAGCGAAAGGTGGTTCTTAAAGARACARAGGCCAATTTCAAGGCGTTTAGAAGAGGAAGTGATGAGAAGATAAGTTTATTTTCCATTTAAACATAAAAACAGCATTTTAATGACAACTAAAGGTGACATAGATACTTTATTATGGTATAGTATTTAAAWATATGCCTGAGAAACACATAATATTGCCACTTTAACAAACGCTACGTTCACACTGCAGGTCTTAATGCTCAGTTCCGATTTTTTGAAAAAATCYGATCTTTTTGTGTGAACGTTCACATTACATTTTAAATGTGACCTGTATCAGACTCCTGTGTGAACGCTCCACAGTACTGATGTGACATGCATGCGCAGTAAAAGACGTGACGTCTCATCAGCCGGYTTGTTTGTTTACAGAGCTAGCATGGATGCTATATTTTACACATCGAATCGGAAGTTGTTGTTTAATCAGAGCCGATTAAATAATTATCTGACCTGCTTCTTTAGTTCAATGTTTATATCTGAACCTGCCTCTGACCGGGATGCTCCAGTGAAGCTTTTTTTTTTTAACGAAACCACGAGCTGAAAAAAGTATCGACCGAGTTTCGAACTTTAGGATCGATACTCTCTGCGACCCAGGCTGGACATTGTTATTATCATACTATCTACGTGGAAAATGAAAAGTAAAAAGATGAAGCAACTGGACTTGTGTTTTGGAGCTGTAAACACACGGAGCTACAGATTTAAACAGCGAGACTAAAAGTCAGATGAATGTGACATGAGCGTTCACACTGCAGTCACTTTGAAAACAGATATGTATCCGATTTAAAACCACATACTGAAACGGCCTGAGCCGGTTTAGAAAAACTCGGATTTGTCGTTCAGACTGTCATAAAAAAAAATCAGATATGAGTCAGATGGGTCAAAGAAATCGGATTTGGGTCGGATTTGCCTGCAGTGTGAACGTGGCCAAAGTTGCTGGTTCATTACACAAAGAGTGTACCATCTTTACTTTTCCTTTCAGCACTAATATCCCAACAGAACCCATTTTATATACGTAAAAAAATGGCCAAATCTCCAACACAGACAGGTTTACGTTCCCACAGTAGCAGGAGTCCACTGTATGCGCTCACACACAGTTCTCGTTCCGAGCCGAGACATTTCCTGCTGTTTCTATCCCCCCTTCAGGGAGTGGTGACAGACACCTCACCCCAGACAGTGGCTCCTTCATCACAGGAGGTGGCTGGCCAGCAGCAACAAATCCAGGTGGACAGTGCCGCCGACCATGTTCCTGCTTTCTCATACCAGTCCAAGTAAGATTCCCTCGACTGTTGGAATGTGTCAAATCCATCTGTCAGCTCTTTAAAGGGGACATATCAGGCAAAATCCACTTTTTTTAGCTGTTAAATGCACGTTGTTGTGTATTTGGAGGACAGTAATTCTCTTTTCGCTCTTGCTAAATATGTCAAAGGTTTCTGCGCAGCTATATAGTCGTAAACCCCTCTATCAAACTAGAATGAACCAGTCTGGAAGCTGAAGGGGGCGTCGTTTGGATTTAAAGAGACAGCCTCAAAATGAGTTGATCTGAAAAAAGGGGTGAAAGAGGGGCTTGTGGAGCTACAATAAAGAGAAATTCAGACCAAAGTGTTGCAGTTTCATTTTATAAAGACCCAACTGAACGATTTAAAAACTGCATGAAAAAGGATTTAAAAGCATGATATGTCTCCTTTAATATTTAGAAACTGAGCGCAGAAAGTTTGACTAATTTAAGTGACAAATGTCTGCATAAGTTTTGAATTTTTTTAATTTCTATAATTCCTAATGAGAATAAATAAAAGCTGAACTGATTTCCAAAAGGTTCACGCCTYGAGCAAATAAATAAAATAGATTTTCGTCGTTTAAAAGAAAGTATTTCAGAGGGAAATGTCGCCATGTTGTGTGTTTGGATCATTGAGAAGTGTTCTACGATTTATTCAAATATGCACAATGACATGTTGAATTTTTTTATTGATATTGTTTTAAGTGCCCGTTTTTCTCTCCTCAAACTTTGTGAAATAATTTCAGCGAGGTTATTTTAAAGTTCAACAATAATAAATGTTTTATTGGRCAGCCCAGGACTTGATGATGATCCTAAAATGAAGCTTAAAATGATTCAAACGACTCTTCTTGGCTGCTGTTGTCTTTCGCTTGTCGCCTCAGCAGCAATTTAGCTCTTTATTGCGTTGTTAGCCGTCAGCTCTGTTGCTCTTCTGTGTTTGTAAAAAAAATTGTGCTTTGATTACAGCCCCGGCGATCTTTTCTGTTTTCTCTTCTGTTTTCAGATAGCAAACGGCCAGAGCGAATGTTCCTGTGACAGCGTTGCCTTGAGACAGAGGGTGGCTGCACTGTGAATGTGAGGAGGAAAAAAAAAGAGATTACTTCCAGATTGCCCAGGCACCAAAAAAAGAAAAAAGAAACAAAAAAAACAGAGACACTTTTTTTCATTTCCTACCTGGCCTACAAGAAGAAGAAAAAATCAAGACTGAGGCGAAGCGTTCTGAGGAAGGCGGACGAGGGGAAATTACTGGGCACCGTGCAAAGAAGTGAAATTGTTTAGTCTGGGAACCTGCCTAAAGGACTGAGCTGAAGCTTGAAAAGTTTCTCCAGGAAAATTCTCAACTAATTAAAAAAGACCAAAAAAAAAAGGACAAAAAAAAAAAAAAAGAAA